ATATTGTATACGAATCATACAATTAAATACCTATTTTACATTTGTTTGTACGGATTCAAAGTATAAATAATTTTTTTTTTTTTTTTATACTTTATTATTTTCTAAGGGACATGTTCCCCCCCCCTCCACCATGGGTGACCATACATAATGCCGTTATACTATACGAGCTAGAGAGGTTAGATATTTATCCAGTTTCTCTAAAAGATATTACGTGTCGATGTGGAAAATGATTGTGTTGGCGGACAAACGAAATATACGTTTACATCATGAACGGTGCGATGATAGGTATCCAAAATAATAGGTAATAAACTTGATCGAAACGGTTTAAATTTCGTTTCGATATTATCGCGTTCTGTATTTATCGCATAATTCGCAGCATAAACAAGTGTTTCACGGGTCAAGCGTTATTGTAAATCAGCCTATGTTTTTTTTTTTTCTTTTTTTTTTTTCGATTAAATTTAAAGTTATTATCGGAACGGATAGACACAATACAAATAAACAATCGTTGTTTAATATAAATATTTTTTTTTTTTCTTGTCAGACAAAATATTATATTTTATATCATAAACCCGCAGTTACGGTAATAATATTATTGTTATGTAAATGAAAGGTGTGAAAATAAAACAGTCCTATCTTACACTGTTTTTTTTTTTTTTTTTTGTTTCTTTTAAAATCAATAGGACTTCTTTGAGCATAATTCAGATAAAATTATAAAGTTTACGAAAGTAGACGCGTAACAAACTATATAAGCCGATATTATAGGTACAGTATAATAATATTATAATCTGTATAAGCTACTCGACATAAATTTAAAGTTCAACAAGTCATGTATAACGCAGCAGAACTGATACGAATCTTTGGAAAACTTTGGGAAAATTGCGCAGCGGCATTTAAATAATTCGAAAAAAAAAAAAACAAAACAAACTCACCGAGTTATAAGAACATATACAACGTAGCCATTTTAGATTTATTCAAAATATATGTAAACAAATTGCGTTCGAATAAATTGTTGAACACCCAATATATTTTGCATTATCGACCATAATATTATTATTTTTATATTATGTGAATAAAATTCGTTCCGATATTTTATTAATTTGTATTCATCTGCAGCTGTGTCGTTTATTTTCTCCATAGCTGTTAATTTATTATGCACGTGACAGTATGTCTACTGCAGATTCTTACTTTTTTTTTTTTTTTAAATTTAATTTTAAAATTTTTTCTTAGGTACTTGTACAAATTGATTTTTTAAAAAAAATTGTATTTAAATAAGTAATATTTTCCCGGATAGTTAGGTATCTACGATAGGGTAACTATTTCGATTTAAACAACATACTACTATAAACATACTGAACAATGCATTGTAGATGTACCTACCTGTAGTCATCACCTGCAGTATCTCTGTTATGGCCACTAATTTTTATTTTGTTCGTAAATAATGTAATATATTTGTAATTTGACGAGTCATAAAGTTATTGTTGTACGCATCTACTGCATTGATTGGGTGATATCAATTAATCCAACAACAATTTTCATTTCGTAATGACTTCGAGACTTTGGAACTCAAACTACGTATCGGTGTAAACGTATACGGTATCTGTGGTATAGTTTTGGATTTTTTTTTTTCCATAACCGTAGATAGATTAAATCAAAAATATTTTTCAAAAAAATTTCTTGAGTTGGCCAATGACGAGGAAACTCCAATCTAAATACGATCTTATCGTTTCGTTCCTACATTTATATAATACGGTATACCCAATATTACGATTCATCGATAAATTACTGGACGAAATAAAATGCATTTTATTTTTAAAGGTAATAATAAAAAAAAATGTTTTATTCGAAAAAACCGCGATGATCGGATATTTGTGTAATGATATTATTATAACTACAGCCAACGCGTACACGATAAGTGCCTCGTATAAGTGCCTAGTTAAATTATTTACAGGAGTACTCGTAGGACGTGATTTAGTTTTATACGAATTATCTTACTCGAACTGTATTATCATTATTATTGATATATGCCAACGTTTGGGTATAATAATATATATTTAAGTAATCGAAATTCCGTGTACCTTTTAACCGCGCGCGCCCTGCAAATAATATTATTATATCCTTTGAAATCCTCTTATTTTACGGATACGGTTATACTATATTATCGGTTGTTCAGCACGTTTTACGTTATTGATTAATCTTTCGTGTCCCTATAAATTACAAAGTTTAAAAAAAAAAAAAATTCTACGCGCGAGTATATTGCAGAAACTAGTGTTTTGGCTCGAGCACTTTTTTCGCAGTTCAAATCGCTAAAACGTTATTTGAAAAAAAAAAAAATACGATTTGTATTCTCGTTCGTTGTATAGGAAAAATCCAATTTTAAAATACCTATACTCGAATTGCGCTCCAATAGTGAATATCGAGCCAAAAATTTAGACTACGCCTACATGCTATGTGCGCTGCCAAAAACTCGCACCACTAAACCCCCTTTGAAAACGGGTCAAACATCCCCTACCCCGTTCGACACACACACACGCACACACATATATATATATATAGTGCACGTTCGGATCGTGTTAAAATACACAATCGTTATTATTTGGTTAAAAAATAAAATAATATCGAATAAAGCGTCGAAATGTACTAAACGTACACCTTCATTATGTTTACCGACTGCGGGGTTAAACAGTTTCGTCGCGTGGTTTTTATTGACATTTTATGTTTTTTTTCCACGCTGTTCGAATATGTGAATATTGTTAAAACATTCTGCTGTCGCGGACGGGTTTAAAATTGCACCGTTAAAATTATTGTTTTTTTTTTTTTTTCAATTTATACTACTGAATTCTTGCTGAAAAAAAGTCGTATATTGCTCACGCGCTCGTCAAAAGAGATAAACCCTAAATTCGATTGTACATCGGAACAACATGCTCGTCTAAAATTTCGCGGGATCGAGCCGGAAGCTTTGCAGAAACCGTAATGTTACGGTGACGAGACGACCACGATAATTGAAACCGATACGAACCCGAGTATTTTATACCGCGGAATAACGTAAACGGCATAGGCGTAGGATGCGAGAGGAGGCTAAGTGTGCTAAACTGCACTTGTTTTATACATTTTTTCTGCGTTCTCATTTTCGGGAAAACCGTAAAACATGTTGCAGAAGGGGTGTTAGAGGAGATTTCGGGAGCTATAACCTCCTTAGCCTTCACGCACATCCTACGACTATGGTAAACGGTTACAGGCCTGGACACCCGGCTAGGTAGGCATTAACAGAAAAATTCCCAATTCACCGAGACAGATTCGATAGGTATTCTGTGGGTAAAACTGTTAGACCAGACAGAAATGCTTGAACATTTAACAGGAGGCTCATTAATAATCGTATATTGTGGTAAAAAAAAAAAAAAAAAAGTTAGAATTAATTTAGTATTTTTTGTTTTTATAAATTAATTTTAATATAAAATTTTGATGAAAATCGTTTAACTAAAAAATTATGTGATACAAATAAACTATTATTTTATTGAGTGGTTATAATTATAAATACTATAGATACGTCAATAAAATATTTCTAATTGGCAACTTATTAAGAACAATATAATTATATTTTAGAAATACATTGTGTGTTTAGAAAACATAAATACTTTTCTGTATATTTAAAATCATTTTTATATCCAGAGCCAATATTTCATAATTCACGTGAAAATGGATGCGAACTGCGATAAGTGTGGTGATAAGTGTTCTTCGCCGACTGAAAGTAAAACGGTCAGTATCTAAGAATATATTCCAGTAACATTTTGTTTTAATACCTACCTAACTATATTAGGGTATCCCTTATACATGGGCGATATGTTTTTGTTATTTATATAATTTTATTACCAATTTCAATGATTATACTAATTGAGTCCCAATACCTGGATGAGGAAAAATAACCCTTAGACCACTATCGTTATCGTTTTATTGCCATCGTCCGAAATACATAATACTATAAAATAGATAGTGAAAATAATATTTTTTTAGATTCTGAATGGAGCGAAGAAGCTTGTATGGTTTTATAAAGATGTTTATTATTATTATTTTTTTTTTATCTGTAAACAACTTTTCTACCAGCAGACTTCCTTGAATTTCTAAGTGTAGCATCTTTTCTGAAATTTAATCTGTGCGGAGAGGTACTTTAGAGAGGTCATTTTTCGATTTATTAGGAGTTTTCTCATCAAATTTGAAAAACCGGAAAAAAATTCCGAATTTTCTATGTTCTAATTATTTCTTCAACATAAATATAGGTACTTGAAAATTTAATTGGGTTAACACTTGGAATAAGACGTGATTTTAGATTATTAGTATACATATATATATATATATATATATATAATATGTCTTTCGAAATTATATGAACAAATATATTTTAGTGTACCGAAGAATGTATTGGTTTTACTAAGATGTTTGTTATTTTTTTTTATCTTGTGTACGAAAATTCGCTTTTTTAAAATCTACTAACAAAACATGTACAATGTGTTACCCCTATAGTTTTTGTATACCTGCATGTCGTTTTTCTTGTGAATAAGGCACTCTAGCGGCATACTCCATACTCCTCAGGGAGTCTTTTCTGCTGCCAAACCTTTTCAATAACACTATATATTAATACTTTTTCCTTATCTAATCCTTTCAAAATTTCTCTCTGAATTCCATCTTTTCCGGGAGGTTTTCGTTTCTTTAACCTATCTATTTGTTGTCTTATTTCATTAATAGTGGTGTGTAGGCATTTACAATAATTGTAGTATAATACAACAATTATTGTTGTATTATACTGGCGTCTATTCAACAATTTCTTCTGAATATTCCGCAGTTGAGCAGTTGTCAAAAATATTGCCAAAATTTTTCAAAACCTCTTCCTGTCCTGTTTTCAGTGAACCGTCTTCATTCTTTAAAAACTTACTATATTTCCTGTATCGTCCTCCGATAGAATTTATTTTTTGAAATAAACGTAATTATTATTTTTATTTTCATAAGCTATGTCATATATGACAGCTAATCTGATCGACACGAGTACTCATAAACGGTTTAAATTTCAGTCGTCGGAAGAAATCGAGATGATAAACATTAGTGACTTAATTAATGTAAGACCGTGGTTCAATGAAGTTTGCGTAGAAGCATTAAATCAGAAGAAGGATGCTGAAAACCAATGGCATGGTGACCAACAAAATAAAGAAAAAGAATCCACGTACAGGAAGTGTCAGAATAGAGCAAATAGAATACTCAAGAGGGAAAAACGAAAATATACTAAAACTTTGTTGAAAATACCAAAAGCAGACTCTGAAATGGATCAAGTGAGGCAGTTGTACAAAAAAATAAAAAACTAACCATCATTATAATAATTAATTAATAATATCCTATTAAGTCACCTTAAATACTAACTTATACTAATTTCTATGTTCCGTCGTCCTACTACGAAATCTTATTCCGTTCTATTTTACTTGTTTAATTAATTTCTTTTTCTTCTACACATTTTTTTTTTTTTTTTTTTTTTTTTTTTTTTGTTTTTCGATTTCATCAAATAATATTCGCTTATTAATCTAAATTTGTTTTCTTACACTCGTTTAATAGACATTAAACCTAATTTTCATTTCAACTTAAATCTCTTTACTTTATAACATTTTCAAATCGTTCGTCATGTAATCAAACACATATTATATACCTACGATAATTACCGCATCATACCTACACGGAGTTTCGAAAAGGGCCATTCAGCTCAAACAATAATATTTTAATTTGCGTAAATTAGAGTACATACTATGGCGAAAAAATTATACTACTAAAATCCGTTTGCGTCTATTCATTCGCTAATTTTTAGATTACAAGCGTAGCAAGGGATAGCTATTGGTTTTACAATGCTGTTTATTTTTTTTTTATCTTTCTTTTTTGTTCTAGTCTGTGGGCACGTTCTTTCCTAATAAAATTCCTCCGATTTTTATGAGTAGCAACTTTTCTGAAACCTCAAATTGTCTAAATGGTATTTTAAAGAAGCCATTTTTTGATTTTCGATGCCATTTTTTTTAAATAAAAGCACAAAAGTGGAAAAAAACGTAGGGTAACTTAGAATTTCACGATTTTGATATTTTATAAAAACACGGATGATGTTTTCTTATGAAAGCAATAATTATAAATTATTTGAAATATTTTTAAATAAAATAACCTTATAAATTTTACCTTCCCAACATCCTATCTATAACAAAAGCTGTACCCATCCCCAGTATCAGCTTTTTTTTTAATATTGCGCGTGACATCTCGGATTAGTTCCGTGATTCGTTCCGGATTCGTCTTCGTGGAGACCATATATAATAAGCGGCAATATTTATCAGATTTTGATTCAACGTGAAATGACTGTTTAGTTTTAAAGTTTAGTTAGAAAGCTTATAGTTTTACAAAGATGTTTATTTTTTATTTATTTTTTTTTTTTATGTATGAACAATTTTTCTATCAGTAATTTTTCTTCGATTCACAATGATAGCACTTTTTCTAAAAGGAAGTCTAACTGAGGAGGTACTTTAAGGTAATTTTTTAATTTTTCTCAGGAGTGTTCCTAATAAATAGGAAAAACCGAGAAAAAACACGGAGAAAAACGGGAAAATAGGTACAATATTAAACTCATATTATTAAAGAATATGTATAACGTATATTGTATATGTAATTATTTTACAATATTATGTCATATATATTGTTAGCAAAGTAACACTATCGACTAAACTCTGTTGAGAATCGGTTTTTCGTTAGCAATAATTTATCGTTGCTTATATGTAGATGTACATTAAATTACCCCTCTACTACTTACACAATTTCTCACCTACAACAGTGGCTGCACCCATGTGTGAAGTATGTCTGTTTTTCCATTCATAGAATTATATCACATTTTGGTTTAAGATTAATAAAATAAATAACAATTATATTATCATACACCACTGTTATAAGAGTGCTTGTTTCATTCTGTGGTGCTGCTTTGAGTTTATTTTTGATTTTATATAATTTTTTTCATCGATGTTTGTTTTACATAACAATATTTTTGTCATATTGTGATATTAGAACTATAAATATCTATATAGTTATAATTATAAATATCTATATAGTTATAATTATAATAATCTATAGGTATCTATAGGTATCTACACGATGTTGCGATCGTTAAAACAATTTTACACATTTGCACAGTGAATGTATGGTAAATTCGTAATATTCCTGTTATTTTTTTCTAAAATATTAAACCAAAACATGATTTACGAACAGAATGATATTGAGGTACGCTATAATACATTTTATTAGGTTATTCAAAAAATATAAGTTCATTAGCAGTTATTTTACGTTAAACCAAAAACGGATAAATATTGCCGTGTATTATAATAATATATAGTAGCCGTTGCGCGTCGTGGCGAACGAATCCGTGTCGTTCTCGGGCAATATTAAAATTCACCATAACCAGCGAACGGATGGTCGCAAACGAATTTCAGTTGTATCACTATGCTAGTCAAACTGTATACTATTTATTATGGTAACAAAATAATTATTGGTTTTTTTGAGTTGGTTTGTCCTTTTAATGAGTTTCCACCATTAACTATTAACTACCACACATTACAATTTGTTTCCGAAACGGTGACTCCCGATGTAGTCGTTCAGCTGTCATGATCATATTACATTATACAAATTAATATAATAGTTCAGTATTACAATTTGTAATACTGCGTAGGTTTAATTTTCAAACGGCAACCTACAGTGAAAATTGAAGAAATAAATAGAATATTAGTTTAAATAAATATTGATACAGGCATTTTTGATTTTCGTCAACCCATTGAAAAAATATTCTAAGTTATGATTGGAGAAGACTAGTGAACCATCATTTGGTTGGTACTGGGAGCACTACACTACTTTTTGCCTAACCCGATGATTCCCAAACTTTTAAATTTTACTAGCTACTTGAAAAAAATTTGATGAACGTTGGTTGATGTTTGTTTCAACTTTCGTTAGAAACATTCTAAAGTCCTCACAATAAGTTACTTGTAACCGTTGTCTTTTTTTTTTATGAGTAGATTGATTAATACTCTAACCTACATTCAACCAAGTAAGATTATGAAAATGCTATCAAAAACATTTGTTCAATAGCCCAAAAACCAGGATAAAATATATGTATAGATATTTGCTTTTGTAGCCAGAACGCTTGACATCCTTTCTTGAACTTTAATTTGAATTCCTCATTTATAGTTACTTCTATCAATTTATCTACTAATTTTGAAGATTCTATAGTTTCTGTATTTAAAAATGGATCGAAAACTCATTAGGGTTAAGAATACCCTCAAATCGTCTGTTGAACAATAAATTGTAATACATAATGTTGTTAAAAAAAATTGAAACAATCACCATCCCATTTTCAATCCAATATCCCCAATTAAACTATCAACTTCCATTGACCCCCTGGATAGCTCTAGGGTCCACTTTGGGAAACTCTTTCCTTGCCAACTATAAAAATGAAATATCTCATCAACAGGTTGACGGATGCCAAACATGTCAACACCAAAACTTATTTAAACTAATATTCCATATATTCGTATAATTTTAACTAAAAGTTGCCATTTGGAAATCAAAATCTTTTTAGTCGTTTCATCCCCATAAAAAAGGGTAACAAAAAATAATGGAAATGTAACATTGTGGAGTGGCTTGTCTTTTAAATTGTTAACACTTATTTTTTTTAAAAGTCAGTACTTTCTGAAGTATTAAATGTTCAACGGCAAAAAATATCACTTTGTATTTTATAATTTAATATAGATACTGTGATAAATAATATTGAAGTATAATAATAACCTAATTCATAATATAATTTATAGGCTATGGAAGAAAATAAAACAAGTACGGAAGATTCTTTAGAAAGTATGTAAATAATATAAATAATTAAATCTTAATAGAGCGTTACTATTAATGAAGTTGTTATAAATACATAATTTTAGGCTTTCAACAAGAAGTTGACATATTAATGCCTTCTACTCAATGTCCAATACATCATGTAACTTCTGAAATGTCACTGTTATCGACACAGAATCAATATATTGAACCGGATGATCTTGATGGATCAATGAGAATTAAAGCGACTGGGAGTGAATTAAATTTTAAACAAACAGTATACAAAGAGGAGGTCAAAGGTAATAATACAATGAATAAAATTATCTAAAGTTTTTAGTAGGTTCAAATATTTAATATTCATAAATAGGTAATTTGATCATAATATTTTAGATTCTGGGTGGAACTAAGAAGCTTATAGTTTTACAAAGATTATTTTTAATTTTTATATTAATTTTTTTTTTTATCTGTGCACAACTTTTACCAACAATTTTGCTCCAACTTAAAATGATAGCAATGATTTTAAAAGACAATTTCACTAGAGAAGTACTTAAGAGAGGTCATTTTTGAGTTTTCTAGAAGTTTTCCAGCAAATGTGAAAAGCCGGGATAAACCATTGGAAAATCGGGTAAAATGTAGGAAAATATGGAAATCAGTACAATATTAAAGAAAATATATAATGCCTATTTAATTATTTTACCATAATATGACACATATATTGTTGTGACCTATTCTCATGATCAATCATGTGGGTTTTGAATTTCTATTGTTTAATTGCAACCGTTATTTAATCGGTTTGTGAAATAGGTCAATAGTGCTCAATCGGGTTCCAGCTCTTCAGTTCATCATTGATCATGAGTATTTTATCAACGTTTAGTAATATTGAAAATTCTATTAAATTAATTTTTTTATTGATAAAGGCTTCAACAGCTAAGTCAATAACCTGTGGTTGCGATTACAATATTATTAATAGATAATTTAGTTATACACTGAGATAACATGATTATGAAATAAGTAGTTATATACAATTTTATATTTATCTTAATATTAAATTTTTATATTAATGCTTATGGATTTGACGAAGCTATGGATCAAGTGTCTTGTGTACTCCTAGTGCTTTATCCATCGATGAAGGTTGGTTGAAGATCTTTCTTGCATTGGAAAATAGTGAGCAATCTAAGTCTAAGTGTTTGATAGGTGTAGTTTGTTTGAGATTGGTATTTCATTCCAGGATGTTTGCCACAATTTGATAGTGTGTGTATTTGTACTTCTTTTTATATCATGGTATGGAAGAGTAGTGATGGTTGAAGATGAGATCGAGGTGATTAGCTTCATTGGCAAGTATATCCACCTTTTCGTTTCCTGGGATGCCCGTATGTGAAGGAACCCACATGAATTCGATTAAGTTGTACATAGAGGTGATGGTGTGAATTTGGTAAATTTTCTTGTTAAAGAGGTTCAGTGCTTCGATAGCTAAAATGGCGATTAGGGAGTCACTGATTATTAGAATTTTGTTTGTGGGTATAGACTTTCCGAATATTAGTGCTTCTTTAATAGCTTGGGCTTCCGCTCTGAAGATACTGACTTCAGAGGGAAGTTTGAAGAGTTTTGAAGTAAGGCTTGTACAGTAAGCAAATTCTACTCCGACACTGGTTTCGAAGCGTCAGTGTAGATGTGAATAAAATCCTGAAATTCAGTATGTAAAATGTCATTGAAGTTTGCTGTGATAATTGTACGGAAGTGTTGTTCTTCTTAAAATGAAGAAACTACGTGTTGATTTTAAGGGACTATTGCCAGACGAGAGTTGTTGTAAAAAGAGAAAGGAATCGGTGTTGATAAGGCAGTTTGAATTGTTGCATAGTTTAATGTATGTATCCATGAATTTTTCTAGTTTCATTGATGTTCTGGGGTTGGGGAGAGGATGAATATTTATGATTTCATGTGATGTTTGAGATTTTTTCTTTTTGCCGTGTATTTTAAGATTTCTTTAATTCTTCGGATCTGAAGAGGTAGCTCGCCTGCGATATAGAAAATGCTAGAGACTGAGCTAACACGGAAAGCTCCTATGGAGATTATAATTCCTTCATTATGGATAAGTTCAATGATGTGCAGGATGTTAGAGTTCGTTAAGTAGTAAATTATTGAACCATAGTCGATTTTGGATAGGATAAGCGATTTGTATATGGTGATAAGACTATTTTTATTCGGACCCCGTGTAAGATGAGACAGCGTTTTAATGACTTTCATTCTATTCTTGCGTTCAGTTTTGAGTTTTTCGAGGTGAGGCACCCATGTAAATTTGCTGTCAAAGGTCATCCCGAGTATGCGGATGATTCTAGTGTATTCAATTTCGGAGTCGTATAGGTATACATGGTGTGGTGAGGTGTGTCATTTTTTTTTTGTTATTGAAGAATATGCCATGGATTTAGGCCGGTTAGGGTTTACACGATTCCTGCAATAGCTGGTAAAGTTTTTTAGTGCGCGGATTGTCTCATTTTCATATTAGTTTCTTGGAGACAAAGTACGCTGGGTTGTAGGTTGAAAATAATTCGTTGTAAATTAATAGTTCGTTTATTGAAGCCATTTAGGTCTAATTATATTTTTATATATTTGTATTTATGGTTATTTTATTATTATTCCAATTGTAGAACCTCAACAAACAGACAATGGTTTAATAAAAGGAAGAAACGATGTAAAATCTGTAGTTTTTGAAACGCGATCATCAATAACTGATAATAAAATGATAAAATCAGGCGATTCATCTTTTTCAAATGAATCATGTAATTGTGTTTCATGCGTGTCTAGTGTATCATGTAAATGTAGTTCACGTGCTTTGGCTGAATCATATAAATGTAGTTCACGCGTTTCGACTAAATCACGCAAATCTAAGACACCCACATCGATGCGATCACAAAAATCGACTCAGCTATATTCTCCACGTGATTATGACTAATTTCTTATTATTCAAATATAATTATTTAATATTTGTACAAAAGAAATAATAACGTAGCAATTAAGTATCAAAGTATATCGTACAAAGTTTTTCCTTTTTCTTTTTTTTTAAAGAGAGACATGTTGCGTAATCATAATTTTATGTTGATTACTTTTTTTTATTTAATAATATGTTATTTGAAGTATGTATCATATGACAAATTAACAGTTAGGTACTAATATGATACCGTAGTATGCAACACTATAACAATGAATACCTGTATTATTTAATTTTATATTTATGGTAAACTTAATATTAATCCAATTATAGAACACCAAAAAAAAGTTAATGGTTTAATAAAAAGAAGAAACGATGTAAAATCTGATGTTTTGGAAGCACGGTCACCAACAACCGTTAATAAAAATATAGAATCATGTGATTTATCCCGTTCTATTAAATCAAGTAATTGTAATTCATGCGTTTCTATTGATTCATGTGAATCTAGTTCACGGGTTTTAGTGGAATCACGTAAATATAATTCTTGTGTTTCATCTGAGTCGTGCAAATCTACGACACCCAGACCTATTAAATCAGAAGAATCTACTCACCNTAACATAGCGATTAAGTATCAAAGTACATCATACTAGGTTGTTTCTTTTATTTTTGAAGGAGAGACATGTCGCGTAATCATAGCTTTATGTTGGTTACTTTTTATTTTTATATAATACTATGTTATGTTAATTAAGCATCATATACAAAAATTAACAGTTAGGTGTTAATATTATACCGTAGGATGTAACACTATTATAATAAAAATCCTGTATTATTTAATTTTATATTTATGGTAAACTTAATATTAATCCAATTATAGAACACCAAAAAAAAGTTAATGGTTTAATAAAAAGAAGAAACGATGTAAAATCTGATGTTTTGGAAGCACGATCACCAACAACCGTTAATAAAAAGATAAAGTCATGCGATTCATCCTTCGTTAATGAATCATGTAATTGTAATTCACGCGTTTCTATTGAATCATCTAAATGTAGTTCACGCGTTTTGGTGGAATCACGTAATTATAATTCAAGTGTTTCATCTGAGTCGTGCAAATCTACGACACCTAGACCTATTAAATCAGAAGAATCTACTCACCGATGTTCTCCAAGTGATTATAATTAATTTATTATCATTTAAATATAATTATATCACACTTGTACAAAAGAAATATTAACATAGCGATTAGGTATCGAAGTACATCATACTAGGTTGTTTCTTTTATTTTTGAAGGAGAAACATGTCGCGTAATCATAATTTTATGTTGGTTACTTTTTATTTTTATATAATAATATGTTATTTTAAATAGGCATCATATACAAAAATTAACAGTTAGGTGTTAATATTATACCGTAGGATGTAACACTATTATAATAAAATCCTGTATTATTTAATTTTATATTTATGGTAAACTTAATATTAATCCAATTATAGAACACCAAAAAAAAGTTAATGGTTTAATAAAAAGAAGAAACGATGTAAAATCTGATGTTTTGGAAGCACGGTCACCAACAACCGTTAATAAAAATATAGAATCATGTGATTTATCCCGTTCTATTAAATCAAGTAATTGTAATTCATGCGTTTCTATTGATTCATGTGAATCTAGTTCACGGGTTTTAGTGGAATCACGTAAATATAATTCTTGTGTTTCATCTGAGTCGTGCAAATCTACGACACCCAGACCTATTAAATCAGAAGAATCTACTCACCGATGTTCTCCAAGTGATTATAATTAATTTATTATCATTTAAATATAATTATATCACACTTGTACAAAAGAAATATTAACATAGCGATTAAGTATCAAAGTACATCATACTAGGTTGTTTCTTTTATTTTTGAAGGAGAGACATGTCGCGTAATCATAATTTTATGTTGGTTACATTTTATTTTTATATAATAATATGTTATTTTAAATAGGCATCATATACAAAAATTAACAGTTAGGTGTTAATATTATACCGTAGGATGTAACACTATTATAATAAAATCCTGTATTATTTAGTTTTATATTTATGGTAAACTTAATATTAATCCAATTATAGAACACCAAAAAAAAGTTAATGGTTTAATAAAAGGAAGAAACGTTGTAAAATCTGATGTTTTGGAAGCACGGTCACCAACAACCGTTAATAAAAATATAGAATCATGTGATTTATCCCGTTCTATTAAATCATGTAATTGTAATTCATGCGTTTCTATTGATTCATGTGAATCTAGTTCACGGGTTTTAGTGGAATCACGTAAATATAATTCTTGTGCTTCATCTGAGTCGTGCAAATCTACGACACCCAGACCTATTAAATCAGAAGAATCTACTCACCGATGTTCTCCAAGTGATTATAATTAATTTATTATCATTTAAATATAATTATATCACACTTGTACAAAAGAAATATTAACATAGCGATTAGGTATCGAAGTACATCATACTAGGTTGTTTCTTTTATTTTTGAAGGAGAGACATGTCGCGTAATCATAGCTTTATGTTGGTTACTTTTTATTTTTATATAATAATATGTTATTTTAATTAGGCATCATATACAAAAACGAACAGTTAGGATACCGTAGGGTGTAACACTATTATAATAGAATTCTGTATTATTTAATTTTATATTTATGGTAAACTTAATATTAATCCAATTATAGAACACCAAAAAAAAGTTAATGGTTTAATAAAAAGAAGAAACGATGTAAAATCTGATGTTTTGGAAGCACGATCACCAACAACCGTTAATAAAAAGATAAAGTCATGCGATTCATCCTTCGTTAATGAATCATGTAATTGTAATTCACGCGTTTCTATTGAATCATCTAAATGTAGTTCACGCGTTTTGGTGGAATCACGTAATTATAATTCAAGTGTTTCATCTGAGTCGTGCAAATCTACGACACCTAGACCTATTAAATCAGAAGAATCTACTCACCGATATTCTCCAAGTGATTATAATTAATTTTTTATCATTTAGATATAATTATATCACAGTTGTACAAAAGAAATATTACCATAGCGATTAAGTATCAAAGTACATTATACAAAGTATTTCCTTTTTTATATTTTGAGTGGACCAAAAAAGCCTATAGATTTACAAAGATGTTATTATTTTAATTATCTTCTATTTTTCGGTTTTCTCGTATTAATATAAAATTTGGAAAATCCAAAAAAAAAAAAAAGGGAAAATGTACGAAATATGTCACTAAAATATTACTATTTTTATTCCTCTGCATAATTTTTCAATCATCAAATTTGCTCCAACATATTATGATTGTGAGTTTTCTAAAAGAAAATTTCACTAGAGAAGTACTCTAGAGGGGTCATTGTTTACTCTATACCGTATGCCAAGTGTTATTAATTCTTCAATATTTTACTTTAAGGCGGATCTAGTGTAATTTTTACTATATTCCCAAACATGGATACACTGTCGATTGAGCTGGATAAATGGACCAAGTCAATGTTAGTTGACTTTATCTTATCCAAGTCACTACCAATCAGTGTTAAGCTAAGTGACTAATCATTCCAATAACCTTTTAGCCTACCTGATTCCGGTTCATATCAAATTCACTATATGTTGCTAATATACTAGAATCGGTAGTTTTTAAACTCAAAAAACTCTGTCAGAGTAGTTTGAAATTATACGATAAGCTCAACCGTTTTGATATAACGGGTCCCACTTATAATACCATTAAACTTAAACTTCTCCTAATTAGTAAGCGAATATAAGCGATTCGTCCAACTTCTGATGGTAAGGTCTCAGCCGCAAAGCGATCCCTACCAATGGAATCATTCAGTTTTATAGTTGGATCTGGTAATATAAAACTTACAAAGATTCCTGCCCCTACCTCCATCTGTAAGCACTAGGATATATTCGTTTTATGACTAGATCAACTCACTACTAATGAGATTCTCAAATCCGAACTTTTTTTGTACATTTGACAATATCACCATCACTCAATTAGTGACCAAGCACCCTACTTATTTTGTCTTCCATATCCAATTACCTCTTCAAAACCTAAATGAGGTATTAGAACCATCATTTTTGCCTGAAGTTACCATTGTGAAATATTCTTGAGGTCGTCTTCATCTAGGTATGGCGCTAAACTTGACTCCAAAAAACTAGATGGAAAAGCAAGCTTTAATATACCTTTCGGTTTTTACCAAAATTGTAGGGGTCTAAGATCCTAACTAGATTTAATTAAATTTTTGAAAAATTTTTTTTTCCAACTAAATATGGCTTACTGATAGTTTCTATGACAATGAATTAGGTTTTTCGAAATATTTTATTTTTCGGTGTGGTAGAAATAATTTAACAAGTAATGCTGTCAGGGTAGTAGTGTGCTCATTGCTATTCGTAATGACATCTGGTGTAGATTATTGCCTAAACTGATCAACCTTGTCAAGCTTGTATTTGTGAAATTTACAACCAATAATGTTGCCGCCTTTGTTGTTTGCTCCGTCTACATCTCTTAACCGTCCTATTCACATATATGAATCATTTATGTCTACCGTCCAAACTACAATCTCTACTCGTTCCGATCGTGTATTTCTGTTTTGTGGAGATTTTAATCTTCCAATCTTAAGCTGATCCATTGACAACTACGGGCTCTCGTACAATTCTGTTTCAGGTGCAATAACACTTTGCGTTCCTGAAATATTTACATTTTATATCTTTTTCAACTAATCAGTGTACCTAACTCTTATGTTAATATCCTTGATCTAGTGTAATCTAATAACCTTGACACGTGTGTTTCTAAATCTGATACATATATATATATTATTATTATACATATACATTCATATACATATATTATATGTATAGGTATATATTTTTTAAATTATCTATCTCAGAGACTTGATAGGTATTTATCAATTATCAATGAATATTGATGTTTATACGACAAATAATTAGAATATGAACATAGTGTGCTCTACCCATTTGATTATAATTCAAGAAAAATGTTAGGAAACTACTATTTTAAATAAGTTACTATCTATGTTACATTTCTTTTTTTAGATTTATTAAATGAAAAACTTCTGGAGAGTTTGGCTGGAATAAATAATAACTTAATTCAACTTAAAGAATTACTCATAAACAATACAAACAATAATTGTAATACCAATAACACGAATCAAGTTAATGGTATGAGTACTGATGGCGATAATACTGATCGTAAAATATTTTCTAATTCAAATACAAACGATCAAAACAAATATTATACCTTTCATTTCTACTAAATTTGAGTATATTGATGAATTTGAACCATATACAAATAATATTAAACACATAGTATGTTCTCAAGATAATACAGAAGTTCTGTGTTTAAATAAATGAATGGTGTGTAATGGTCAAAACTTACAGCAAGACACAACTGAATTATTTCATCAAATTAAAACAGAAGACCTAAATGCCACTTGCAAAAAATTTCTTTTCGTCAGCAAATCAATCTATTTATCAACATGGAATGATGTTTCATACAAATTAGTGGACTTGTTAATGACATGATTCATCAAAAAACAAAATCATTTTCAACGCCTGGGACTGGTCATACGCATTAAGTTGGCATTTCCTCGCCCTGTACGGTATAATACGCGCGGCTTATCAGTTACGGTTACCGCCTATTATGCGGTTGCTCTTTGTTATTTTTTTTTTATTACTCAGTGTTGCCAGCTACAGGGAAATTTCGTTATTTTTGGGGATTTTTGAAACCTTAAAGAAATAGGGAATTTTACAAAAACGTAGGGACATTTTTAAAAAAATCGGAGCCAGCCTAATCAATTTTATCACATAGGTCATAGATATAGTAATGAAGCATGATAAATGATAATTTAGTAAATTATCGAATATATTTCCATTGATAATACCGTGATGTAATACAATGATTATACTTTCGTGTTCCCATTATTAACTTATTTTATAAAATGTGTATTCTTATCATTTCCACACTCAATTTCATATGTGGAATGTATATTTTCAATTATTAATATTATGAAAACCAAACAAGGAAATCACCTAAATACAGAATGCTTGGTTAATATGTTGCATGCTAAGTCAGCATTTAAAGATAAAAATTGTTTTGAATTCACTGAAGAAAAAGATCACTAAATAAATTTCAACTAATCAATTTATAATTTTAAAGACTAATGTTGTTATTAGACACATGTTTAAATTTGTTCTCACAGACCAAAAAATATTTGGTTTTGTTACCTTGTTATTATTTAATTGCACAATAATATGTTTTAATTTTATATTAATTGTCATAATACTATTGTTTAAATTTATTCTAAATCATTATAAGACTTAACAAAATTAATTTCATTTTGTTAGGTACCTTTTATTGTTTAATTGCATATAAAACTATATTACAATTTTGTTTTCTTTAACCTATATGAAAGTTATGTTCTTAAATAGTAAACAGTTTTATTATATTTATAGTGATTAATTGTTATAATATCTATCTTTAAATTTGCTCTAAATCACTATAAAATAGAACAACATTAATTTATTTTGTCACACTTTTAATTTTAATTCACATATCTAATATGTTAAACTTGAGTTATATACTCACTACTTTCATTAATTCAATGTGTATTTAAATATTATGAGATTGAAAGAAGCTATTTCATATTTAGTGTTTAATTAATATTGTATATAGCAGAAAAATGTATGTATTAGTGACGAGGTAGATACATATAAAAAAATACTTATTGATTTAATGGTCCTTTGAAATAATTAAATGTGGGCCCACTATCATGACAAAAGACGATTACTTCATAATTGATTCCTTAAATGTTTAATATTTTTTATGCAACCCAGAATTTGTTCAAATAATCAAGTCACTTAAAAAAAAAATGTTTAAAGAAATTTCACCGTATTTAGGGAATCTTAAGATGTATATCTGGGGAGAAATAAAAAAATGTCGAGCTGGCAACACTGAATTTTCACTTTAACTGTTCAAAAGTACTTATTTTTTATTTTGCTTGCCGTCGTCGATCGTTGTGTTCGTTGCCATGTGCGCCTTTACTGCTTTTACGCACCCCCGCCTTTGTCGAGGTCCTATACATTTTTGTTTTTGATCGTTGCCGTGTACGCACTGTATATATGACCGTTCATTGTCATTGTCTTTTGTCGAATTAACCGTACGCTTGTCGCTTTGGTTGTTGTGTAGCGTATGCTCCTTTATCGCTAACTACTTGATCCAAAACCGCACATTGTTTTTTTTGTTTGTTTATATATTTACATATGTGTTTTTCAATCCAATGTCCTCGATTTTTATTTCCTTCGAGATGTTGGAGAAACTAGTACTGGCGTGCCAGGCAAATGTGTAATAATCCAATTTTTTTATTCTCTTTTA